TTCACTTCTTTTTTTTAAAAAAAGTAATGATTTATTCATGTCTAAGGAGGTGATTATGTATTTGATTTTGAATTTGACCTTCTTGTTTGCATCTAATATTGAAATTAAAAAATAATACATTATTATGATGTCTCATCCATCTACCTAATTCGCTATTTTCTTTTTACCAGCTTAGTACACGTGCCTAAAACATTCGAGTCATAGGCAATGGACACATTCCCACCAATAATCCGAACCACTTCCACTTGGAAGCTCATTGGCATCGAGTCAATGATACTCTTATAACTATTCGATTTGAAATCTTACTTATGAAAGTGTTAGTGACCCCCTTTGCCCAAAAAATAAATAAGTTTTTTGTACATTTTTTTTATGGGTGTAGTTTCTATAAGGTTGCAACCTCAAACAATCCAATTAAGATGTATCTCTAAATTTTATCATAACATGTAGTTTAGGTATAAAACTTTTTTAGGCTTATCTTAAAATTTATTTTCATCTCTAATTATAAAAGTTTAAACTTCAAAAATGGTTAAAATCAAGTACATCTATAAACATATGAAAATCTCGAAACTTGACGTTTAGATAATGTATTGCAAGATGTACTATTTATAGAACTCAAAATCTTTTTCTTTATCATATTCATACATCTCGATGCCGAGATGATCAAAGGGGTTTTCAACATTAAACCAGCCTTTTTCAATGGATTTTTGAGGTGCAAATGTAATTCTACATTTTAAGGTTGCAACCTTATATAAATGTTTTTCTTTTTATATATATAAAGGAAATATTAATATGTGATTATATTTAATGAGACCATTTTACTATTGCTACAAGGAGGTCACAATTGTTTATAATCCTCTGATGTGAAGTCCGATAGCTTCAGTGTGTCAAAAAAGTTCAAAAAAGTTTATTCTAAACTTTGTGCATAGTCCATAGAGTAAATGCAACCATGCAATTTCACATCCAATGGTCGACATTAACTGCGACCACCTTTACCAAAGGTAAATGGTGTCATTGTATACTTTTTCTATATTTTTATTAAATAAATTTATCTTTTTAAAAAAATGATGTGGAGGAGACAAGATACATAGATATGACAAAATTAAGAACCCTAAGATCTGAATTGAGAATCGCTTGGGACCGAATGGATTGGGAATCTAAGACCAAATGGTTCTAGGAAGATATCAGTATCGACCTGATTCCCCCCCTAAAATGGCCCTTCATTTTTTATATTTTTTAAGCTTATTTTAATTTTCTTAGGCCCCCCTCAATCTTCCTACCATAAACCTTTGTTTTTATTTATGAGTATTATTATCTTTAAATAATTTTTTAGATCACCAACTCTACCATGTCGGTTCCAAACCAAGATGAGAAATGAGGGTTGTATTATGTTGGTAGTCCATGGAGAACTTTTGCCACATCCTTATTATGAACCGTGATTCAGTATTAAAAGCTTATTCTAAATTTTCACATCCTTATTATGAACCGTGATCGAATATTAAAAGCTTACTCTAAATTTTCTTGATTTATAGCCTGACTGATGGTATGGCTCTTGATAAAGTAGAGGCCAAACAAAATTCGTATAATTGGTACCAAACAGGTGAGATAAGTCTTCAAAGATGATGGTGATGATTTGTTTAGATCTACATTTCGGACCGATACAAATCAGCCCAACACGTATATGGGTGGAAGATCCACCCCCGGTATTAAAATTTTGAAATATTGGATTGGAGAGATGGAAATAATGGATGCATGCACTAATTCGTCGTATGTTGGTTGGGGTTCTAGCAAGCCCTACCTTTGTATTGATTGTATTGATTAAGATTGTTCTCCTTTTCAATTTGAAAAAAAAAAAAAGGAAAAAAGATTGTTCTCCTTTTCATGACATGAAATAGGACGCATTGGTATCAAAAGTCGGGGCAATGCAATGTTTATATTGTTTGATACAATGGTACCAAAATATGCTACTTTTTTAAGGATCTTGTCCACTAAAAATTGATATGTTTTGTTGGATTAAATTTGAAAAAGTAAAACAAATTTAAAATAATGCTAATTGATTAACCAACCAGCCAAGACTTATCAAAGATAAACATGTGTCCAAGGGGTTTGACCACGTGTCCACTTGTTGAACAGTATTGTCCACATTTAGTGTACATGGCGGATACAACACATATGTCAAGACTTCTAGAAACACATATGATCGTGTGCCCGCCCCTCTTTTAGGATGTACCATTTTTGGAATTTGGCATTTGTTGTTTAGAAATGCCATTCTTCAACAAATAACATTTTATTTAAAAAATAAAAAATATTTTAGAATAATAAAAATAAATTTGCATAAAAATAATTTTTTTATTTATTGAGGGTGAGTCATCCGATCATATGATTTTAGATGAATACATTAGGATCCTATTCAATAGTCATACAATAAAAGTATTATATTTTGAATAAATAATTAACGCATACTTTTTTTTTTTTTATCGACTTGATGAGAGATATGTACGAGGGAGTGCTAACTGGTGTGTGGACAACTAGTGGATAGACAGTTAAGTTTTTATGACAATAGATATACATCATGAGTGAGCGTTGAGCCCATGGCTTAGTTATGGGCGAATTAATGGAGCACCTACAAGATGATGTACTATAGTTTATGTTGTTTGCGGATACATAGTTTTAATCGATGAGACTCGAAGTGACGCCAACAAAAAGTAGAATTTTAGAAGGATGTTTTGTATTTTAAAATTAGCCAAACTAAAAAAAAGTATATAGAAATGCAAGTTTAGTAATAATAGGAGTAGAGACGAATAACTAGTCAAGATTGATGACCAAAATATGCTAAAAAGAGTGTAGTTTTGATATTTTAGGTCGATAATTCAAAAAAATAAAGATGTTGAGAAAGATATTGCACATAGAATTAGAATTGGGTAGGCAAAAATGGAGATGTGCAACTAGAGTTTTATGCGATCGATGCATACTAATGAAGCTGAATGAGAAGTTCTATAGAGCAACTTTGATACCAGCTTTATTTTTATAAGGCGGATTGTTGGGCAGTCAAGAAACAACATACCCATACGATGAGTGATCTAAGATGATGATGTTGAGCTAGATGAATGGCAATCCATAAAGGGATAGAATTCAGAATGAATACATTCGAGAGAACTTAGATGTGGCTTTAATAAGTGATAAGATGACAAAAAGTAGATTTAGGTACATTGACCATGTGAAACGAATACCCGACACAATGTTTGTTAAGAGGTTCGAGTTGGTTCAAGTGGAATGCAAAAAAAAGGCAAAATGTAGTCCAAAAGAATATGGTTGGAAGTAGTGAGAAAACATATAAGGACTTATAACCTCATTGACGGTATGAACCTTGATAGAGTAAAATGACATATCAGGATCTATATAGCCAACCTTAAATAGTTTGGAAAAGGTCTAATGATGATGATGATGATGAATTAACTGATAGTATTTAGTTCTTTTCCATGTTGTTATGACATACACAACCTTATGTTAGACAATAAGAAATTTTCTATGAATAAAATTTTGATTCACAAAGCAACACTTTTGGACTGTTAATCTAACCTAATTTTTCTATGATGTTTGACTTTATATAAATTGTTGAATATGTAAATTGAAATGTAAACTATATATAAATTTCAATATATTTATATATAAACATGCGCATATACGTGGATGCCTATATATTATATAGACAACGTCCTATCTAGATATTCTTTTTTGAGTTCACATTTCTAATACTCGCATGTCTCATAAATATATATGTCTCCATTTAATAGGTGGAGACCAACTAATTTAGCATGATCAATAACATTAGTTGGACCATAAATACAAGATCACAATGGGAATATCAACCAATGCCTTTATTTTTTTTGAAAAGGTTTATATAAAGCCAGGCTCTAAACAATCAAATTAGAGCCCACCTCAAAAGTTTCACTAGAAGATATTGTTTTGATGCTCAAATATCCTCAAATTGATCATCTCGACATCAAGAGGCATTGACATGAGAAAAAAATGGATTTCAAGTTTTGGAAACAGTGCATCTTATAACTTATTTTTGGACCATTACTTTTTAAGATTTTCAAGTCTGCATAGAACTGGTCGATCTACTTTATTTTTTAAACTTTAAATTTTATAATCAAAGGTAAAAATATATTTTAAGGCTATCACAAAGATTTTTAGTATTGAAACCACAATTCTCAACACTATTTAAGGTGCCCTTTACTTTTATTGTTTAGAGGGTGGTTCTATTCAAACCAACCACCTTATTTTTTTTGGGTGTGATTATAGAGCTGAGGCTCTAAACAATCAAAGTGGTGCACACCTTCAAATAGTATCGAGAAATATGGTTTCAATACTAAAAATCTATGTGATAGCCTTAAAATATATTTTCATTTCTAATTATAAAACTTAAAGCTTAAAAAATAATGCAAATCGAGTAGATTTATGAAAACATGAAAATCTAGAAAATTGACAGTTCAAAAATGCATTATTTTCAAAACTTGAAATCTATTTTTTTCTCATGTCCATGCATCTTGTGGCCGAGATGATCAATTTGAGCATTTAAAATACTTCTTCTAGTGAAATTTTAAAAGCATGCCCTAATTTGATGGTTAGATCGTGTTACTTATATAAACCTTTTCCTTAGTTTTTTTACCCTACCCTTTCCTTACCCTCGGTTCCGTTATTTTTCACATTCCATGCGATAGGTAGATCCGTCATTATGTCTTATTGGTTAAAAGGACAAGGGTACATCTGTCAATTAACAAAATAACAAGGCTATTTTCGGAACCCAAGAAAACCTTATTTTTTGCTCGAACGAGTCACGTCCCTCTCCGTGCTCTGTTCGAAAACCCACTCCCCTCTCATAGACGTTGCATCAATTTGTCCCATTCTCAAATCTATGACAAAATAAAAATTAATAATAAATTGAATAAAATAAAATAAAATATTGTTTAACTGGAAATAAAAAACATGGTGAATTTTTTCCCAGTAGTTTTAATGGGGGAACACAAGCATGAAGCACTGGTCTTTTTAGGGTGGCAGGGCTCTGATTTGGCCTTTAATGAAAAATGGGTCTTTTTTCTCTTTTTTAAAATATAGATAAATGTCTTGCTTTTGTCTTAAGCAAGTATGCACATGTACCTGAATCTGAGCTTGCGTGAAGAAGCTCTAATGTGTCTCTCTGTGATTCAGAGAGGTTCAGCTTTTTCTTGATTCATGAGCCCGCACAACAGGGTACTGTAACCTAACCCTAGCTAGAGGATCTTCTATGATTAGGGTTTTTGCTCGTTCTCATCCCAAGTGGCCTTCTCCCTCTTAGAGCTTTTCTGGGGACTTTAATCGCGGTGTCTTAGCTCTTCGTCTCATTTTCAGAGATTTTCTCCAGCGATTTCTAGGGTTAATGTGCATTAGGGTTTCTCTAGCGAACTTTTTAGGGTATTGTTGGGTGTTTGAGGTCAGTGCAGTTCTGGGAATTTTAGTGGCGATTTCGGAGAATGCTGGCGTTTGGACGGTCTTGAAATTGCAGGGTACATTCATTTCGGAGAGTTTTATGACGCCTTTATATAGCTTTTCTCTTGAACTTTCTGTGGATTTTTGGGGTTTTTGGGTGTTTGAAATCATTGGTTAAAAGCTTCAGTGGAATATTTGGAACACTTGTGTGGAATTTTAAGTTTTCTGCCTTGATCTTTTTTGTGAAGTTTATGTATTCTGTTTTTTAGGTATGAGATTTATGGCCCTCAGAAAGATGGCAGGGGCTCCTTCTTTGCAGGGAAAAAAATGGCGGTATGAAAGTGCCTTACTGCTGTTCTATTCGATAATATAGGGCACTGAAATAGATAAATGCAGAGAGAGTTAGGGTTTTTCTTGCATGAATTTTTGAGGCGTCAATGTCGTTTCAGGCTTAACAGAAGTAAATTAGGTTATTTATTGAAGAAGTTGAAGTACCGTGCAGAATTTTTTTTTTGAAAAGTTGCATTTTTTCGAGAAGTTAAGGAAGAATGCTGACACATTTGATTGGTGTTTCCTACTCAGCTAATATTTGGAATTGGTTATGGACATAAGAAGCCATTAAAGATTGAAGTGCTTTAGGGATTTTTCTCGAGCATTTCCGTTATTTAATCAAAAGGAAACCAAATTCTACGGGGCATTGTTAAAGAGATTAGGGCATGATTAAAAGAGTTTGGGTCATTATTGAAGAAATTGGGAGAGAAAAAAGAGTGACTAAAATAAATCTTAGGGAAGTTATAGAGTTCATTAGGTGAAGATGAGCGATACATCTGGGAAGGCGATTTCTAGTTTAACAGTTGCTGATAAATGGCATCACAAGCCTGGGGGTTGTGTAGGTGCTTTTTTTCAGCTTTTCGACTGGAATCGCCGTCTGTCAAAGAAGAAATTGTTCTCCAACAGGCTTCTTCTACCAGGTAAATTATACTTTCTTTCTTTCTCTCTGTGTGACAACTGCATTTACCTGATCTTTGGTTAATCTTGACATCTGTTCTCTCTCTCTCTCTCTCTCTAATTGTCCTCTTGTGATCATTGGATGCAGACCGAACAAAACAGCTATCTAAAAAGTTCAGGAAAGAGAAACTGCCCATGGCAAAGCTACTTCTGGTATGTTGTTTTCTTTCTTTATCTTTTCACATTTGCTTAATTTAATTGATAGGTTTTATCTAGTTTGCTTTCTCTATCCCTGAAATGATGTACTTGACAAACCCAGTTTCCCCGAGTGCGAAGAAACTTGAAGCTGTCTTATTAATCTTCCAAAACTAAAAGAAATTCAAGTTCAATATTGGATTACTTGCAGACCTAGTTCTGATGGGTTCTCTTTTTGATTTTCAGATTGCTGATGAGAACAGAGGGGGCTTTCCAAATGCAAAGAAACCTGATCCAGATTGCATCTCTTCTAACACTAGCAATGGAGGTACTAAAACAGGCAGCAGGCGACCTGGTGTGGTTGCTAGGCTCATGGGCCTCGAATTTTTGCCATCACCTGAACCTTCAAATCGTAGTCTCCAAAAAACGGAATTTAACAATTCCATTGACAAGCAAAGGAAAAAATCTGAATTGCCGGATTGTGGTATTGACCCATGCTCAGAAAAGGAACCCACGAGGGTCGATTCTTTCTCTAGGAAACTTGTTGAATCAAGGCCTCAAAAGTTGCAGAAAACTGGTTTCTTTGAGAAGCGCCCAGTGTCGAGGTTTCAGACTGATTCATTGTCATTTAGAGGTGTAATTTCCAAGTCCAAGAAGAAGCACCCAAAGCTTCTCTCTCCTGTTAAGAGCCCAGGGATCCTTTCTTCAAAACATGCAGCTCGGTTAATGGATGCTGCGTCCAAGTTATTGGAGCCAGGGTTGCAAGCAACCAGCAGGGCAAAATGTGCCCTCCCTTGTTCTCTCTCTACTCATGCAGCACTGAGAGATCGGGTATCAGATGAGGAAACTGAGATTCTAGAGAGAGAAAGCAGGCTCCATGGAGCACCTCAAAAGAGAGTCGAGATAAATGTTAAGTCAGCAAAGGAACAGACTTTGCCCAAGATTTGTGATATTCTAAGGGAGACTGTAAATTCTGGGTCAAACTCTGAGGCATTTGAGCAGAAGCAGAAGCAAAAGCTTGGTGGTTGTGTTTCAGAAGTTGCCCAAGATCCCAGCAACAAGAGATCAAAAACTCCTCCTGTCATGGCATACAACCAAGAGATGAATAATGCAGTGGGAGCAGTATCATTTTGTTCAAATTCAAACAGTACAAAGACAGCTAGTTTAGGGAACAATGAAAATGGCATGTCCCTTGCCATTCAAGCGAAGGTAAACATACAAAAAAAGACTCGAGATGCTCAGAATAGGACCAGGTTTCTTCCAACGGAGCAAGTTAAATGTTCATCTAGTGAGAGGGTGGAGCTGAGTCACCACAATGTTGGTGCGTTGAGTTCAATTCCACATAACAATTTAAGGCGGGATAAGGCATTGTCAGTGAAAGAAAGGGCTCCTATAAAACCCAGATTGTGTAATTTGCAATCTGGGAGAGATTCATCCATTGGGGCTGCAAAAGATTTTGTTCTTTTGAACAAGAATTTGAATGGCTACTCTAGAAACAAAACTTGCAACAAAGTGTCAGGTGATTCTAAAATTGCTCTGAAGCATAAAGAACCAGTGAAGAGGAATGCCTTGGATAGGAAAATTGATTCCTCATTGAGAGCAAAGACCTTGATGAGAAAAAAAAGGGTGATGAATGGGGATCAAGAGAGAGAGATTATGGTGAGTAGTGGCAGGAAAGAGATGAGTTTGAGCAACCAATTTTTGGTTATGAGCCATAACAAAAGTGAGCCTATAGCAAAAGCAGTAAATAGCCGAGAAAGCCCAGATGAAGCTGACCATGATGCTTCTAGTGGCAGTAGAGAGATGGACATTGTCTCTTTTACATTTACTTCCCCGATGAGACCAGCATGTGGGTCTTCCACCTCATCAAATATGTTAAATAGAAAGACAGCCTCTAATGCAATGGATGGAGATCTGTCGTCTCCTGGATCCACAGCAGTGACAGGAGACCTTTTAAGTGCTCTTTTGGAACAGAAGTTAAGAGAGTTGGCTTCTCAGAATCCCAATTTGTTGACCAATGGTGCACAAGGAAAAACTACAGTTTCCATTCTACAAGACCTTATATCCGGTCTTACTAGTGACGGGCCTGTTTCTCAGGAGCGGGACAGGAACTTCTTGGTAGATAGTCCTGTCAATTCTGCTTGTTCCTCCACTAGTAGCCAGTTCTATAATACAAAGCCACAGGTCTGTCATATCTTCTCACCTTTGATTCGTTCCTTTTTGCATGTTTGCATTATTTGTTTTGCCAGTTATGTTTTGACTTCAGTTTATAAGGAATAGAGTGGGGGCTTTTTGACTTATTATATCTGGGTTACTTCTTTGGATTTTTCTTACTGAAATATAGTATATTTATTTTTTCCCCAAAATTAGACAAATATATGAAAAAAATGTGTGCATGTTATTGATATGAATCTGTCTCCATGTTTATATCTATATATATATCCATGCATAAGCATAAAAATTAACAGTTTGCATGTATTTACACATGCTGGTGTACAATGATGCATGCATTTGCATGGAAAATTTTGGAGTAAAGCATGATTGTTAACTTCGTTATCTCTATTGGAAAAATTGATTGTCCACCTTTGAGGTATAGAGTAGAGGCTTGCTCGTAAATTAAGTGTCATTGTGTGGTTTATTCATTGTTGGACACATACTTACCTTTTCTTGCACATTGTACCAGTGGTTACGAGTATGTATGAGCCTTAAATTAGGTGTTATTGTGTAGTTTATTCATTGTTGGATACATACTTACCTTTTCTTCCACATTGTACCAGTGGCTACAAGTATATATGAGCCAGCAATGTTAATTAGTATTCTGGTGAGCCTTCTAATAGTTTAAATGCCAGGATAGATCCTTGCCTATAGTAGGTTTTTCTATTTAAGGCTGGATCAGTTTTTGAAAGTCTATGTATGTTATCTGTGTAATATTATTGGGCTGGCAAATGATTGTGGTATTTTACTTTAGGCCAATCATAGTAGTTACTTTGCATGAATTCAGTGATAATCTTGTAAAAAAGGTTTTTTTGGAATTTTTTTTGTTACAATTACCTCGATGAAATACTCCTTTTTATTTTTGAAATTTTACTGGATTTTAAAATTTTCGGTGGGAGTGGAAATGACATTTCTTTAGCATTAGCCCTTGTTGATGAAGCACTCCTCTTTTTACTTGGATTATCACAGCATCCATCTTTGCTTCCCTTGGTTGGGAAGGGCATCTGCTTTAAGTGTTTCATTATGTGAGTGGGCGTTTTTCTTGCATGGTAGGAATGCAGTTGTATAGCTAATGAACTAGTTCCAAGGAGGTCACTTTTCATACATGTCCATTGGGAAGCCTTATGAGGTTGTTTATTTATTGGCTTGGGGTGGGTGAGAGTATTGGATTCTTCCCCTCCTGAAGTTTGGGTCCTGTTTTTCAATATAATTGCCACATTTGTTTGGTTTTTTCTACATCAATTAAATTAAATACAACTATTATGGGGAGCAACTTTTGTAAGTTTACCACTTATAAAAGAACATAGAGAACTATTGTAAGATTAGAATGGTATAAGTTAGAGAACATTATTTATGATGAGAAATGTCATTTTTGGGAAGACTTTTGATTTTTGATGAAAATTCAACCAGCCTTAACATTTTTTTTCTTTTTTTGGAAGCTTTTCCTTTATATTGAAAAAAGGAAATTGTGATTGCTTATCAAAAGTAATAAATCACTTGTGCATAGCATTCCTCAGTTTCATTTTATAGGTTTCCATTCTTTGTATGTCATACTTAATTATTGTGTCATATCTTGGCTTGTGATATCATTTGTAAATTGAACCCTTTTCTAACTATCTTTTCATTTTTCAAGGACACTTCGGTTCTTTCATGTCGAAAAATGGACATGTGATCATTTATCAAACATAATAAATGATTTGCATGACATTCCTTACTCTCAACTTATAGGTTCTCAATCTTTGTATTTCATCGTATTATAGTTGGATTGGGGCCATGGTTTGGTTTTTGCTGCCATTTTAGACCTTGATGGGGTACATTGTTTTTGATAGATTGAATATGAATGGTGTCTTAAGTTGCGCTGGAAATGCAATCACAAGGGCATAAGCCCCCCAAAAGGAAAATTATTAATAGATAAAGAATCAAGGAAAATTATAGTCGAAGCCCCGAACTCAGAAGTGAATCCTCCTTTACTTCTTGAACAGTGAGGTAATCAGGCAGTTGGCTTGTCTGGGAACATGATGTCATTGATAAACTCTCATCCCCCACAAATATCATGTATATTCGTTAGCCTATCCAATGATGCTAAATTAGTTGTAGTTTTGACAATTAACGAACTTGGGGAGCAGAAGAATACATCAAGGCATCTCAGAAGAGCTCCTGATTTAGCCTATGAAGAATCACAACTTCCAGTGAGTCCCTAAAAGGCGTTTGAGTTCAACCAAGGTTATTTCCAATTAGGCACTGGACCCAGGATAATGCGGGCTCTCATGAAAATGTTACTGAATTCAAAAGCTCTAGGAAACACACGAGATCCTAGTTCTTTGCCTAAGATTGAGAGCCGTGGGCAACCAACAGATGATAGTACTGAACCCATTGCTTTGCTTTCAATCCAGAGACTCTTTGTATCCACGTGCTTGTAGGATAAATGCCTTTGATGTGTTATTCTCAAGTAGCCAATCTAGGAGCCCTTAATATTTCTTTCTTATCTTTCGTATGCTTACCAAAATAGCTAGAGGTGGCATCATTTAAATAGATAACCTATTTAAACCAACCATGCTTTGGACCAACTTGAACAAGACCCTGAAATAATGAATTAGTACCTGTTCCTAAATCATGCATGCTAAGGCATAATTCAAGGGAGATGGACTGCAACTCCTACCCCCTCCCAAACGCATGATGAAACAAATATTTGGACAACTAATCTCTCTCACTCTTTCTCTCTCCCCCCCTCCCCCCCGTTTTCTTTCTCCTCCTATTGAAGAAATCCTTTTTCACACCATTCTGCTACACCTGCATGGATGTCTGGTTTCTGACATGTTATGACTATGTACCAGTGTACCGAAAATCAACTTGGCCATGGTACTCGGACCTCGGCTGAGGCGAGTTGGAGTAACTCGCCCAAGTCCAGCTCGGATTTAAGAAATAGGACAAATGCTATGTTATATGTATATAACATTGCATTTTCTTCTCATCAAACATCAAAGGCCATGTTGGTTTGGCATGCCGCTCATAGTATGCTGCTGTGAACTGCATCTTGGGTTCGAGCCCCACATACCTCTTTCTTTTGGGCTCGAGTCTCGTGGGTAAAATAATAAAGAGAGTGCATGTTGGGGGGATTGGAATCCTCACCACTACGGAGAAAAGTCTGATGCGCTAACCCAAAGGGCAATTGAACATTGGTGAATTAAAAGAGACATTATATATAGGATGGATACAAACCTGGGTGTACAGCTTAACTCGCCTCACTATAGGGTGAGGCACCAAGTGGACTCGGCCGAGTTGCAGTACACTGCTATGTACCCCTTCCAAAACTCTATGCAGAACGGCCTTGAGTTCTTCACCATAGGTTAAAATTTAATGGGAGCTTTCATACCTCCTTGGAACTTAGGCTTGATATTCTCTGAGCTAACCAAATTGTTCATGCCTATCTCACTCCTCTCTTTGTAGAATTCTCTTTGTATTTCTTTATATTAGGAGGTATCATAGTAGTCTGGAATCTTGTTTGGATTTGTTCGAGTGAGGCAGTTCTCCAGGTCAAGTAAAGGAATTGGATGTTTGGGCAAGAATAAACTAAAAGGTCTCCATATCTGGGTTCCAGAGGTGGCCTCTAGGGTTTGTGAGGGCATAATGCAACAGAAGGTATTTATTCTGTTACTTTTCTGCTTTATGACTTGATCTGATATCAAAATCTGACTTTGAACTCACTTTATCTAAAAACAGAAAAATCTGACTTTGAGCTCCTTATGTCCTTTACTGGTAAGACGGTCAGAACTTCTCTCTCAAAAAAAAGGTTGATCCTCAACCTAGATTGAATCGTCAGAACATCAAAATTATTTCTAGGAATGACATCTTGAAGATCAACTGCTGAGATCCTTGGATTGTAGAAAGCAGTTCTAATGTCATGAGATGCATTTGCAGAGGAGAGGGATTGCTCTGAAGATTAGGTGATATTATGGAGGTTATCCTTTATAGTGATGCGATATTCTTGGGTTGTGACAACATGGATTCCCTTGGCTTCCATACTTGGTTAGGCAATGGGAGCATTCTATCTTTAGCTGTTGACTCTATTCCGCCCCAGTTTACCTCGTCGCTCTCCTCATCCTAGTCTTATTGCTTTTACTTTATTTCTTGTGGATTATGTCTCTTAGGTTATTTGCTGTATACAAATTGTTGTTCCCCTATTATGTCACCTGCAAATTGGAAACTGGACTTTTGCTTAAAATGTTTTTACTTCAATCTTTGAAGTTAAAATTTTTACTTTGTAGTCTAACATCTAGCGATCTAGATTTCTGTTATCTTCATTTTGGGCATAATATTGTCCTCGTTAAGGCTGGTCAATACCTTGTATAGTTTAGTTTTTATCACCTCGTATTTTGGTTGTGTTGTAGTCTCATTTCTCGTAAACCTTTTCTTTCTTCCTTTTATTTTATTTTATTTTAATCGTTTGTCATTTGAATATGTTGGCCTGAACTGGCCAGTATGGGCTTTCTGATGGCTCCTATCAATTTGTGAGCACTTGACAATGAACTGATTTATCCTGCAAATTGATTTCGGTACAGAGGGAGAAACAGAGCCTGCATAAAGAGCTGGAGGGCACTGAATTTTCCTTCTATGATAAAACAAATCCCAACTGTAACTGTCTTCAGATGAACCTGAAATCAGGTGTTTCTTCTACTGGGTCGGTGCTTGCCAACAACTGTAATCATCACAGTCCAGTATCCATCCTTGATGCTTCTTTCTCAAATGACAGTTGCCATTCCTCAGAGAGTTTTGATAACACCCCAGGTACTCCTTCCCTTTCTGGCTCTCAACGAGTGTGTGTGTGTTTTATTGATTGCATAGGATTATGTGGTATGGTTTCTTGTCTTGGTAGAATGGACAGTGCGTTTGTGTATTAGAGAGAGAGATCTTACTTACCTACTATTTCTGCCAGTCCACAAGCTGAATCTCTCACCTGCGGATCGCCCAGATGCTGAGTTATCGGACTCTGCAACTTCTGTGGATGTAGAAAAGGTTGGAAGTGAAAAAATCATGAGTACCATCATTGACATCTCCAGAATGCACGGTATCAAACCTTCAGTTATTGGTTTGGGAGAGCACTATTTGAGTTTAGAATACCAAGAACTCAATTATGTCCGAGAAGTCGTATCCAATGCTGATTTGATGTTTGAGAATGCAGTACTAATGGGGGGCTCAATTATAGACCCTCTTCTCTTTGATAAATTAGAAGCTCAATGTGGGTTTGGGTTCTCAAAATCCAATGGTGGTTACCTTAACAGGAGGTTCCTGTTTGATTGTATAACAGAGACTATGAATATGAAATATAGTCGGTGTTGCAGGGCTGGATACAAAGCATGGGCCAAACTGCCCTTCTTGGTTTTGAGAGAGAGGTTAACCAAGGAAATTTATGGAGAGATTTCAAGGTGGAAGAGTATGACCCATAAAGTTTTGGATGAAATTATAGATGTTGAAATGAGCAGTCCATTGGGTAAATGGTTGGACTTCGAGGTAGAGGCTTTTGAGATTGGGGTAGAAACAGAGAGAGAAATAATGCGAACACTGATTCAAGAACTTGCCGTTGAACTTGCAGGATTCTGGCCAAAATCGTCTTTTAATGGCATGAACTCTTTTTCAGTTACATGATGCTCTGTAAAGAGGCCTTTACTGTTCTAAGTTTCGGCAAGATGTTCAATTACACGGGTTTACTTTTCATGGCTTTTGGAAATGTTCTGTTACTTGAGGATGTGTAGATGGAATTTTTTCGGGGTTTCAGGTACAGATTTTGGCTTTCATTTTTGTAATTACACGGCTCTTTTGAGTTACCCATGTTCAGGGGTTTTTTGGTGTATGCATCTCTTATCTGTACAAATCAATGAGCTTCATGGATTATTCCCAGAGATTGTATATCTCAAGGAGGGTTAATGTATGTTTTATTGGGTGGATTTCTTACTCATCAATGCTGTGCTGGACAAGGTCTCTCTCTCTCTCTCATGCCCAAAATGCACGGATTTTCTCTCCATCCCGCTGCAGAACAGGCATAAAAGCACACCTGTGGTCTTGTGGAGGAGATTGTGCGCTTCTTGGGCAAATGCCTATTTGAGGGGCTCCGCTGGATTCATAACCTTTTTTTTTTGCAAGGGTGTTTTTCTCAAAGGTGAGAACAGTGTTTGCAAAATCGAATCAGAACCGGTTTAACTGGTAAATCGGCCGATTCAACTGTTAGAAGACTGCATTTCTACATATGCCGTCCAAAAGTATAAGATGGATGTAAATATGTGATCCTTCTAAAAACAATTGAAACTAATGGTTCAAATGTTTTTTTTAATAGAATTATTTTTTCTATTTTTTTGAATTTTTATTTTATTTTCATAATCATCATTTCCATATTAGAAATTACATATCCTTAGAAATTAAGTGAAAAAATCCATCTCAAGAATAGATCTATATGTGCGCTAATCCCGTCCATAACTGAATAGTTCAAATTAGTTCAAATTATTGGATTTTGAAGAATCGAATTAGACTTTTGGTATTTTCAGTTAACCGAAATTATTAAATTTTTGGATTTTGAAAATCCGAAATTCAGGTTTTTAGTTCTTTAAAATCAGAAATTATACTTTCGGTGATTGAATATCCGGAAAGTTTCACACTAAAGTTCATGCGAAATAATACTATCCTACGAGCATTCCTCTATCCTTTGGAGGGTTCCCACTAGCCACTCTCTCTCACACACTCATCTTCTCACAATCTCTTTCTCCAACTTACGAACTTGAATGGATTTGCTATGTCTCACTTTCACAATCAGTAGGATATCTAGGGTTCATTCTCTAATTGAATTTTAATTTTATATGATTGGTACATTTCTTGTTTTATTTTAAGATCCGTTATGTAAATTTGATTAAATTAATACAATATTCTTTGTATGTATCGATAGTTGTCATTTGTCTTTGAAGTGAACATTTTTTGGGTAAATATTGGATTGAATAGTTGATTAACTTTTAATATTGGATTGATCTACTAGTACACATTATTCTTCAGCCTTGCCCTACAGGCGAGGCCAACTTGCCAGATCTTGTATCTAAAACTCATATTTTATGACCCCTCAATGAATATTTATTTACGTATTAAACATATCCCATATTTTTTGATGACTTTTTTTTTTTTTTTTTTTGTGATTTGAATTTTGGTATTCATTTAATGTAGTAACATCGACAATGGTTACCGAGGGAGTGCCACTGGTATTTCAATTTAGAGGGTCTTTTGAGATGAACACAAATGACTGACTTCTTTTTTACAAATGGGGATATTTTACAAAAGCGTAAAACTAAAGGTTACCAAGTACCATATAAATAGTTCTTTGGATAAACTAAAAAGTCATTTTGGGAGCTTGACATCATGTGATCTGAGCAAATTGACTATTATGTATTACAACACGAGCCTATCTAGTGGCCTTGAATTTTTACATAGGTGATAAGATAGATGTATCTTACATGTTGGGAGGAGAGTTGTCGAATACTGTTATATACATTGCATCTGTATTGGAGCCGGAGTAGAGATTAATGGAATTTCGAATGACAAAACATAATGGTGATTCTCAATCTACAAGGAATAGGTACTTTTACAATTTATAATTTCATTTGTAATTTACTTTAATTAAAATCGTCCATGTTCACAAATATTTGTGTTTTGTTTAGCTCAACTTATTGTACTCTTGTCTTCTATTAACAGTAGGTCTAAGGCACCTTTAGCTGATCAGTTAGAGCGTAACGAAGTGGTGCTTATCCAAATAGAGAACGAGCTTGAGCTTGTACTTGTACTAGAGCGTGATAAGGATGATATTGAACTAATTGAGAGCCCATGTAGAGGAATCGGTAAAGATGTTGTTTTGAAAATTGGCCAATATTTCGAAAGTGTTAATGAATGTCAGCATCATCTGGTTGATTTTGTTGTCCACTAATATTATTTTGAAGTTTTCCATAAGTAAGGAGGGAGAGTTTGGGCAAGTTGCAAGGCAAATGGATGTACGTAGCAAGTGCGATACTTAAGAGTTTGTAGTACGTCATACTTTGTAGTGAAGTTTATGGTTAATGAGCATATGCAGCTGTCCAATAGGGAGGGTTAATCAGCCATTAGAGGAAAAAAATATTAAATTTTCCTTTCATAACCAACCTAAGATTATACCGAAATATATTATAAATGATATCCAATGCGATCACAGTATCATACTTTCCTACATGCAAGCTTGGTGGAGCAAAGAAGTTGTTAGGAAAATAGTAGATGGGTCACATGACCAACAATACAATGACCTCCCATAATACATGGAAAAACTCTGAAGAATCAACCTAGAATCGAAGTATGCATCCACACAGATAATGAAAGTAGGTTCAAACGACTATTTATTGTCTTTTATTACTGTATCATGATTTTTGTTAATAGATGCAAGCCAATAATGGGTATTGATGGGACATTATTAAAAGGAAAATATCTAAGAATATTATTGTACCATTGCCGCAGATGCTAATGATGTTATCTTCTCAATAGCATTTGTAGTGTTCGAAAAGGAGAATTATTAGAGTTGTCATTAGTTCTTGAGTATTCCAAGTGATGTATTCAATGAGCATGCCAATCTGGTTACCTTGACAATTGTAGCAAATCGACAGGAAAACTTACCAGAAGCAATCAAAAAAATGTTTTCCCAAATGTTTTCCAGCATTCTGCACACGACATTTGTCAGAGAATTTCAAGAGCTCTATGAAGAAATAAAAAAATACAATAATATTACTGACGCTATTTTGAAAGGTTGCCCCCAAATGGACCATATTAGAGTTTGATAAAAATACTGGCGATATAGTCTACTGACCTATAAACATACGAGTGGATTATGAATATTCCTCCCAAAATTTGGACAAATGTCCATTTTTCAAGGGTTAAATACAATTAGCCTCAAACATAGCCGAGCACTTAACAACTGTATTTTACCAGCTCAGGACAAGCCAATCATTACATTGTGTGAATACATAAGAGTAAAGTTGATGAGCATGTTTGAAGAGAAGTTTTTTGGGGTAAATTGTTTGAAGAGAAGTTGTAATTCGCTAATAGGTGGACTGGCATCCTAGTACCCAAAATACAAAAATTACTCAACTTGTTAAAGAATAAGGTAAATTTTTTACATACAATTATATTGGCCATGGATACGCAGTGCGAGATCCACTATCGACATTCATTCTCCAAAATGAATGAATGTCGATTGTACCTTACAAAAAAGAGTTTGTGTATTGCATTTTTTTATTGATTGTACCTTGCAATTGAAACTCGTATATTTCGAGATTCCAAAATTCCACTTGAAAATTGTATGGCATTAGAAATTTTTAGTAGCAAATGTCGAATGCACCAATGTAAACGGGATAATTACTGTAGGAATTGGAAAAGCCGGGCACCATTTGCTGTTTTTCAAAAATTTTCAAATTTTTTGATATTAAAAAACTGAAAAATTTTGATTTTTTGGTATTTCAAATACCGCAAAATAGTCATTGTTTTCCATTAGCTTACTGGAAAAAGGAACCACTTTTTTGGTTTTTCAAATAGCGACAAATTCAAATTGTCGATAATTAAAATGCCAATATTTTTTTATTTCCAGTAATTAAAAGATCGAGAAACAACAACTGTGTTGCAGTGGGTTACTCGAAACCAAGATTTCAGTTTTTCAACAATCAAATAGCTCATATTTTCGTTTATTCAGAAACTTAAATTTGTGTGTTTTTGGTATTTCAAAATCCGAAAAGCGGTCACTGTTTTGTTGGGCTCACCCAATTAGTGCTCTCTCGCATAAATGCGGATGCGCGCAGTGGAATATGAATATATGAGATAGAAAAATATATCAAAGTCGAAGTGTGTGTATGAGTGGGAAAACATGCAAATAAAGTAACTAAGAAATAAAACTTATTGATATTGATATTTATGTGATTCACCTTTCCAGGCTACGTCCACAGGAGAAAGAGACAAATCCACTATTAACTTAACGATTACAATAGTCTTCCAAAAAACAAACTTTTTTGGGTTCACTGATTTCTTCTAAAGATTTTTTCTTTCTAAGTTTTTTTTCTTTGAGGTTCTTCTCTTCTTCTTTTTTTAAAAAACTTTCTCTCTTTAAAAGAAATATTCTCCCTTTATCTCTTCTTCTTTTCTGCAAAAGAAATGTCTTTGTATTTTTCTTAATATACGAATAAGAGTCAACAACAACCCACGAAGTCCTCTCATGTTAACCATAATTCGAAGTGTATCCTATTTATGTGAGAGGATCACTTGGTTAACCCGTCGCACTTTTCCACTTTTTCAAACTGCCCATTTAGCTAGGATAAATTTCTTTGGTGCCCCTCCCACCATGGGAAGGGATACCCAACATGTTTTCCAGTAAGTTATTAGAAAAATGAACTAAGATTTCGGATTTTTTCAACAACAAAAAATATTATATTTTTGGTTATTTAAAAACCGAAATTTGTACGTTTTCGGTTTTTGAAAAAGGGCAAGCTTTTTATGCTCTCTATAACATAGAAGTTCTATCCTCCCCCTTATCCAACTGTCCATTATGAATGGAGGGCTAACATTGCTCCAATCATAATGTCACGTCTCTATACTATTTCATTTTTAATTTTTTTCTATAAACTATTTTGATACCAAATATCGGATGTCCATTCCTCTATTAACTCGCACTAGCGAAAAATATAAAAAAAATATTTTCAATAAATAAAACGACCAAAATACCCCTGAAAATTTCAATGGGGTAGTTTAGTCATTATATTTTATCAAAAAATTATTTTTAATATATTTTATAGGTGCGGCCCAATGATAAGATGGCACATACCAAATTTCATATTCATACAATTTGTATAAAAAAACTAAAAATAAAATACTTTGAGACATCGGATCTAAGATCAAACGGTGAGTGGCTCTCTTGATCAAAATTGGACGTCTGGATGGTAGGGGGAGGATAGAACTTCTATGCTGCAAGGGAAGTATAGAAACCTTTACCTTTGAAAGATTCAAACGAAGTCACTATTTTCTAGTAAGTTACTAGAAAAATGTACCAAGACTTCGGCTTTTCAACAACCGAAAATATTATATCTTTAGTTATTCAAACACTGAAATTTGTGTGTTTTTGGTATTTGAAAAACCGAAAAGAAGTCACTGTTTTCTAGTAAGTTATTGAAAAAATAATCAATATTTTCAGTTTTCAACAACTGAAATTTGAATGTTTTTGGTATTTGAAAAACCAAAACTAAGTTACTGTATTCCAATAGGCTGCTGGAAAAATGAAGCACAATTTCAGTTTTTCAACAACCAAAAATTTAAAAATATGAGTTTTTGAAAAACCAAAATGTTTTATTTTGTATTTTAAACACTGAAAACTAGTAGCTAGTACACTCCAATAGATTTAATGAGAACCAATATCTTGTACTCCAATTGCCTAAATGAACCTACATTTTGGTTAAAATAGAAAAGATGTTAGATTGCAATCCTTTATTTTTATTTTCGGTTATTCAAACACCCAAAATAGCTTGTACTTCAATAGCTTTAATGAACCAACATTTTGGTAGTTCGAAAATAAAGATGTTAGATTGCATCCTTCCTTTTTCAATTACCCGTCAAAAATACTTTTGGTTTGAAAGAGTTATTAATCTGAACAACAACACTTCAAAGATGAGATTCCTTGGTATACATTGTTTTACTCTAACTTGTCGGCGCACATGGTCCGATATATATGGCTCGACGGTGTCATCAAATATGAGGGTTTTTATGCACATCGTAGTTTAAAATATCGTCCTATCGTCATCGAAGTCATCACCAGGCTTAAAATAAAGATTCCATATGACCTGTCATATCATTTGAAATCCCACATAAAACAATCATAGAGCAAATAACTACAAAAGACTTGAAAAAACAATCAAATTCAGTCTTAATAATGTGGTCTAACCTTATTACGTTGGAGGTTATCGAATTCCTACCGTATAACACAGGCATTATATTATGTGAATTGCCCTTATATTCTTTTGGAGGCTCCTACTTTTTTGCTCTAGGCCAATTTAAAGGGATACACTTTGGTATAGGCTTCATATGCATAACATGTTCATATGACCAACACTGTATTATATCAAGAAATGATAAAGTATAATACCAAGACACTAGTATAAACCATTATGTTTATATAAGATATGAGTATCCATAAAAATCAAATCAATATAGAAAATATGATTTATCTGCATAAGTGTGGTTGAACCACTAAAAGTGTTTGGGCTTAAAATAAGCAGACTTTGCGAGTGAATGATACAGATAAGCGAGGGCTGCAGCACCCCAAACATAGTTGTCTGCTTGCTCAATATTATCAAAAAATTGCAAATGCCATGTTGGTGCTGTCACCTATGATGCATATGAGAAAATGATAACTCTAATGAGGAAGATCAGGTAGGTAATGGTGCTCCTAATAATGTCTAGTGGGCCTACACCTGATGGCAGTTTGTTGAATTTGGCCTTAACTTGATGACACCCAAGTTAGCCTCACTGGGGACTTGACCCCATTGGTTTTTTATATACTCACGGTAGTTAGTAATTGGACTACCGGTAATAAGCTTGCCATCCATAGCTAGACCTAGTATCTCGTAAGCCTCAAAGAGCGTAGGTGTCATCTGATCAATTTGTACATTGAAATGTAGCTAATTGGTCTCAGATCGCCACCTTTTTGGATTGACGGCGACTAAGACATGACCTAGATTACCTAGCCGAAGAGTAGATAGAGCACCCAATCTAGACATGCACACTAGGTCCAATTAATCATTTTATAATAATTGATAAAAGGGTGTGGTGTGTATAAGGTTGCAACCTTAAACAAGTGAGGTGCATCAATGAATTTTATTGTAAGATGTAATTTTTGGGACTCAAAATCATTTTTTTTTTCATATTTAGACATCTCGATGTCGAGATGATCGATTAGAAGATTTTCCAACTTCAAAACAACCTTTTACAATAGATTTCTAAGGGGCAACTACTTTTAAGTAGCAACCTTATATAAACTTTTTCGTTAATAAAATTGCCTTGCCACAAAAGGTTTTTATATTAAAAAGAACTAGCCAATGAAAGTTTAGCATGTCTATGGAATGGATTAGCCTGACAAAACTCTTACCGTAAAATGATATGCTCCTCGTGGGGGAGCACAATGTGCATTAGCTCCATCGCGGTAAAAATCATGTTAGTAATATTTTTTGGACCCTAAATTTTGAGATGCAGCATCTAGAACCTAATAACTTACCTCAAACAAAAAGAAAATTAAATAAGCTCGTTATATGTCCCTAAAAACTAATGTTTCAAGATTGAATATGAACCATCCTTGAAGGGTTCAAGAACTTAAAAGTCTATTTAAAAAATTAGTCTGATGATACTTATATGGATCTGAAAAGTTGATAAAAAAAATCTCCCAAGTTACTCTTTTACCTAAGGGAGTCGTTATACACAGTTTGCATCCTCCTACTCTTCCGCTCCTTATAAGTTTCAAAGGCAGGCAACGTGTTAGACATTTTCCACTGGGGTGGTATCCACGGCTGGATCTAATAAATGGTTGACAATGGAGAAGGAAAAGATGCATAGTGTAATCTGGCGGGAGCACGCTGCGCGCGCTCAAAGCTTCATATTTTGGGAGAAAACTTCATTTTAAAGTACAAGGAAAAGCATTTGGTGAGTCCGCCGACTTACACTATTCTTGTGAGGTCTCCTTACAAAATATATATCAAAGATGTTTTTTCGATTCAAAATTGTAGAGTTCAATGACCTCAACCATGAAAATGATCTAAATTTAGAATTCTTATTTTTTAATATATATATATATATATATAATGATTTCATGCAACCGTTGTATAGTAATATGATATAACAACATTAAAAAACCATATTATGGCCATTTGTTTGATCCAAATTTTGAAATATACACTCTTTTCATTCTAATGAACAATCACAAAAAAAGAAAAAATTGAAAACATAACTTAGAAAGTATTTTTTTAGCTCAATTACCATAGGGTATTCATTTTGGTCATATGCTTAGATCTAGGCTTTAGAAGGATTTTTTCATTTTCAATTTTTTTAGATGGCTTTATTATCATAGATGAACAATGT